TGCGACGAATCTTACATGGCCAATAGTAACGATACCAAATTACTAAGACAAGGATTATAAACAATAACTCTATAAGGAAACTCTAAGAAGATTGCGTACGCCGACAAAAGTACTTATGTCTCAAAGACATTTCCCGCCAAATAGAATTATACTCGAACAATATGCACATATGGACWGCACATTCACAAGCTATGTATGTATACATAACCCTTTAATTTCAACCACGTTTTCTTATTGGCCTGTTATGATTTATTCTTAAATAATGAGCTGTCATGCCGCAGGCTACAATTAAAAACTGCGGTGCTCAATTTAAAAAACTTTTTTGAGGATGACGGCGCAGCTTTCCGGGATTTTTGTTGCTAATCTAAAGAAGATTGAATACTTTATTCGCACGAAATAAAAACCGTAGCTAAGTTGATCTTACATTTGCGAGTAAATGATCCTACTTGAACCAAAAGCTACAATTTATACTCTTAGAGGTATATTGGAAGTCTATATTGTAAAAGTTTTCGGTTGAAAGTTCGGAGAGACAGTTGCGAACTTACCATATCGACTCTAACACTCTTATAGGGATCCACCATTAGAAAGTGAAGTTAGGGATGGATGGYGGTGTAGGTTGGAAATGAGTTTCAGGCTTTTATACTTGTCTTCGCCTCACAGCAGATATTGTAACAGGTCTTTTTCCTACTGGTTTGTTACGTTTTTTTCCTGTCTTCCTTGCATGGATTTTTCTTATCTCAAAGGATGTTGGACTTTTTTACCTTAACCCAGCCCCCTCCCTTCCTCTCTCACCTTTCTTAGGGTGGATCCCTGTTACTGGAAGGCTCCATTAAATAATTTTAATTCTAATTTTAATGTTAGACCACTAACGCAGAATAAAACTCAAATCGCTGATAGACGAAATGGTGCACCGCGAACTTCGACTCCTAAAATGGGACAGGCCCACGTGGGCTAGAGATTTAAACCTCAGAGCATTTGTTATATGAAAAAATGCCTTGACATCGTGATGAGCATTGGAGATACCAAAACGGAAGAACTTGCTTGTTTTTTTTTCTGCTAAGAAGTTACAGAGATCTGAATCAGAACTGTGAATCACTTTTCTATGGGAAAAAGTGTCTTAAACTTAGACCATGTGTTACACTGGCCGCTCAGTCGTTCTGTTATCGTTTCTAAGTTCCGACATTGCAACAGTCATAGATTCAAAGCTGACTTTCTTTAGTATATGGCTTTTTAGAATTATACAAGTCGTATATTTGCGACGTATTGGCACACGACTCGATCATCGATTTTATCACATTATCATATCGAACAAAAACCAGTTTCAAGGACACTCAACATATCTTTTGTCCGTAATCCGTTGTCCATGTATTCGTGACTCGAGCAAATATACAGCAGACGGTTTTTTGTGTATTAAAATTGTGGAGTACAGCGACGTATCGTATTCCAGGCCAAAAGGTGCTTAAAAGCATGAAGACCTAGTTATAAAAAACATTAGTCGAGAGAGACTCTTGGCCGCAGTTTACACATTTTGAGAAAGTAATTAAATCTGTATCAGTCTTCTTTCCTCTTGGGCTCTCCTCTTGTCTTGAGTTTTTGTCTTCTCTTGATTTTTTCTCTTCTCTTGAGCTCTAGCTCTTTTAGCTCTTTGTTCTCTTCTCTTCTCTTCTCTTCTCTTCTCTTCTCTTCTCTTCTCTTCTCTTCTCTTCTCTTCCGTTTTCTGATTTGTTCTCAATAATTCTTTCAAATATTGTATCTTGCACAAAGTCTGATTTGTTCTCAATAATTCTTTCAAATATTGTATCTTGCACAAAGTCTGATTTGTTCTCAATAATTCTTTCAAATATTGCATCTTGCACAAAGTAACTTATAAACAAGGAAGCGGTTCAAGTATTAAACAAAATCTAATAATGATCATCTCTGAGTGACACAATAAGACTTATAACTGACGATTGATAATATTCAAATCCATAGTACGTACGTGCTCAAACACTTCAAATAGACCCTCGCTTTTACGACCACTTGGTATAACCGGTCGAATTAAAGAGGTGATTACGATATTTCCAAAGACATTATAGTGAAATAAATAGTAACAATTAATAAAGAGGTTACTGGATGGTCGCCTTGGGGTTAATCTATCCCATAGACTAGTCTCTGAGCACGAAATGRCTCGTTTATGTTGAGGCATTAAAAACGACTGTTATCTCAACTACTTATCAAAGCTCTCGAAGTCAACCCTGAACTGTACATGATAAAACATACAATGGGCGTTTAAGAGGTACTACCCAGATGGTACAATAACATTTGTAATCTTGTTAAATATCCCTGGTGAGACACCAATGGGTGCCCAAGTTAAAATCCATAAGATATTCAGAAAATGTGGTACTGTGAAGCCTCTTTTGCGCAAAAAAAATTATTTATCTTTCCAACATAACTATATTGCCACTATAAAGATCGTATTTGTATGATAATGAAATTGAAAAGCCATTGGATTTGATGGTATTAGGATTACAGAGTGTTTGAATTCAAGAACACATTCAGAAAGTTTTGTACCGTACGTGAATCTCCATTTCGCGCAAAAAAAATTCTGTTTCTTTTTAACATGATGAGATTCGATACTGATCTGGTATGTTGAGAATATTTTCTTGATGATGAACTTTCATTCAGTCTGTTGGGTTCGTTAGCGTGGCGATTAAAGAGTGCTTGTATGATGTTGTTCTAACCACCTACAGGTTCTGTGTACAATTATTKGACTTCATTTCCCCTATTTATAAGACTTATAAGGTTTTCTCTACATGTAAACAAAGCTTATCCCTCTAATTACTGAACATTCTCTTTGCTCGCAGTCATTTCCAGCAATATACCAAGATTATCTAGTGTGAAAATACTCCACGTTTACYAAGCACTTACCAGTTGTATTCTTGCTGTTCGTCGTTATAATCACYAATCCTTAGTTTCTGGTTGTTGGCTTGGCTGACAATTCTGCCTGGACAAGATAGGAGACCATTAAAACGTTGATTTTGAAGGCTGTTTGTCTTCAGGGTCAAACTAATATAGTCGAAGTGAGATAGTCCATAGATAATGTGATTTGACAATGATTAGCCTGACTCGCATGCTTTMCTACATTGGATCTATCAACACGTCGTTCACATGATATCGTGAGAGCACGGATATTTCATTAAGGGTTGCCTAGCGTATTGATAGAGAAGGATGCCRRTATAAACAATTATTTCACGAGACTGGGTATAATATGTAGAATTATTCGTGAAACTAAGCATAAATATGAAAAATTATTCCATAAGACTGAGTGTGATATGAACATTATTGCATAATAATTGGTATGATATGAATAATTATTGCATAAGACTGAGCATGATATGAACATTATTGCATAATAATTGGTATGATATGAATAATTATTGCATAAGACTGAGTGTGATATGAAGACTTTTTACATAAGACTAAGTATAATATGCAATGTTGTTGCACGGTGTGTGACGTCACAATATCTCATTAATGATTGCTACACGATGACGACATCAAGACACAGATGATTGATTTGTAATGTTTGTCGGATAACGGAGTAGTAACGAGGTATATGAGATTTTCAGAGGTCCCGATCCCAGGCCTAGAAACCTGATCCCTGATCCCGAAAATCAAAAAAGTTTGATTCCTAGTCCCATCGTAAAGAAGTGATCCGCTCAAAAACAAAAATCAAAGGCTAAAAATGCGATTTCTGATCTCACACAAATTGCTCCATGACCAAAAAATTGGTGTGAATCTTGATCCCATATACCTAGTTACTACCCCATCAGTGTCTCTGTTACTACCCCGAGATAAAGTCACCTCGGCCTACACAATACATATCATACTCAGCCTCAACCAATAATTCGTCATATCAAACTCCTTCTCAACCAATAATTCGTCATATCAAGCTCCGTCTCAATCAATAATTTGTTATATCATACTCCGTCTCAACCAATAATCGTCATATTATGCTAAGCCTAAGCCAATAATTCTTCATATCAGCACTCGCTGATTTAATAATAATAATTTTTCATATAATATCCTGCCAATAATTCTTCATATCATGGTCAGACGCAACCAATAATTCTTCATGTCATACGAATAATTAACGAATAATTTTTTTACAATCTAGCATCTTATCCGTCTGAATTTGTTTTTCAGTGAATTCCAATGATGTAAAAGACTTTATCGATCCTGACTTCAAAGGTACGTGTGTCCGCATTTGTGTCTTTTTTCAAACTTCTCTTGGTACATCTAACGCTGTAATGCAAAATATACTGTAATGCCCATATACTGTTCGAGTTGAAGATCTTTTCAGACTTTTTGCATTAAGTTTTGGTTCAAACGTGACCGGTTTGAGCACAGGTAGCCAAGTATAGTGAAATGACTGAATAGGCGGTTGTTAGTAGCAATGCTTGGTTTGAAAATGACAATGGTATGTTTTTAGCTGTTGTTACGTTTGTTTGTTTGTTAAATATTACATTTGAGACGAATCTCTATCATCAATGACTGCGGAACGTAATCGTGCATCTGTAACCGGCAAGACACTTTTTTCTGTCCATGGCCATACATTTTCATTGTTATTAGTCAACTAATCTTCTTCTGAGCAAATATATTAACTGATTCCTAGAATGTTTGATGATTGGTGATGATTAATGAATGATRATGTGGTGAACGTTGTTAACAGACCGCTGGTTCTCAGCTGGATAATGACCACCGAGCAACCAATCAGCGCGCGCGATTTCAGCGGAAGTAGTTCATATCACGAGTATGTTACTGTAATAATGATATCGATACCAACGCTAGCATTAATAAGAAAAATGCTAATAGATATTGATAATAA